TTTTTTAGAGAGAGAGAGAGAGACAGAGAGGAATGGTATGCTTCTGGTTTCGAGGAGAACAACAAAAAAATCCATTTATACGGCGGATTCCTTGTTTAAAGCTCCTGAATGGATTCTTGAATTTGTCACGGATTCACGGAACTTGCGAACAATCAATCGGCCGCAATTGCAAACCCTGTCCGAGTACCCAATACCCGAGGACGCTGGTAACAATTATTTCTGACAGGATCCGGCGGATTCTATCGATGAGCTGAACACTCGGCCATGGACTGTACAAGGTCTGTGTACAACAAATGACTAGACCAGATTACCCTGTCTTTGGCCGCGGTAAGTTCCGCGGGATCGTGCCGCAATTTAGGGTGAATGGTGAAGTTTCGTGGCTGATAACGTCTCGTTTCGCGTCGGCCAGTTCTTAAACAAAGTTCAGCACTTGCCAACACTCTGGTCTGGTAGACTTTGTGTAGATACTGGATGTCATGCTCGAACATCGCTAAAAACGTTCAGAATTTTCGCTATTTCCGAGATTATCGTTCCTCAAACAAATTGAGGAGTAGTGTAACTCTACCTACTAGTTATCTCTCCTTTCTTTTTTCTCTTTCGCTCTGTACACCAAAACAGAGTAGAGAACGGAACGCGTAATTTCGTAATTTGCCCCGCTATCGAGCGGCGTAATGAGAGCAGAACACGGACAGCCACTTTCGAAATTGTTTCAATTAGATTTTTACGATGCCGTGACTCGAGCCTTAACCTCTTGCGCTGAAATAATGCGCCACGCGCGTCGAGAATTTTTTCTCACCCGAATTGCAACATTTTCTCAATTTCAAGTATATTTAAACGTAACCCAAGGCAGAACAGACGATAAGCTTATTGCTTCTTAACAATTTCTATCCAGCGATATCATACCGACCGAGTTCAAATGAAAAAGAAAACGACGAATTATTGTATATATGGCTCGGTCACTCGTTATGGTCCGCGAACCAGTTTGCCACGCGCGTCGAGAATTTTTTCTCACCCAAATTGCAACATTTTCTCAATTTTAAGTATATTTAAACGTAACCCAAGGCAGAACAGACGATAAGCTTATTGCTTCTTAACAATTTCTATCCAGCGATATCATACCGACCGAGTTCAAATGAAAAAGAAAACGACGAATTATTGTATATATGGCTCGGTCACTCGTTATGGTCCGCGACTAACAACAAGCGTTCAAAGGCGAAACCATAGGAATTACATTCCTTTGCAAATACATCGAAACGCAACAGATACATTCGTCCTCGTGCATCGAGTATCGCTGTGAAATTCGCCGAACGGATTCTGTTAAATCTGGACTGCGTTTTAAACAACACACGGGCTCATCCGATTCGAGGTCGTGGCTCGAGAAACATCGTTTCACCGCAGGCTGTGCTCGTTCGTGACAACCAGCTCCACGGGATACGACAAACCCGATCATCGTATGTACCGAAGCTGAAGCTTCTCGATTCTCGGGCGAGGTTTAAATAATTTAATCGCGTGTAATTCCCAGAAGTGGTGCGAGCGCGATGCGAGATTGAAATTTCATATTGTCGCGTGGCGTAACTTCATGCAACCGGATATAGTATGTCTCGGTGGAATGTATAATTCGCAGGAACGTATCATTCACGTGCTTCCTGTTCGCGTCCTTTCAATTCTTTTTTCACGATTCTGTTCGCGATTAGAGTGACAACTCAATCGACACTTTTCGTAGCGTAGTAACTCTTGGAATTATCATTACTATTACTATTATTACTACCACATAATGATAACATTGAACTTTTAAAGAGTACAATGGCACAAGTTTCATTTATTTCAATCAAATTTTGATCAATCA